AGCAACAATTCTTACTGACATCAGTGTGAGCTATGGACACTTGGGAAAGGTCCGCCTGGGAAAGGTCGGGCCACTTGCATAGAAAGTTAGGGTTGGAAGGGACCTCAGGAGTCACATCTAGTGCACCCTCCTGCTCCAAGCAGGGCCAGCTCCAACTAGATCATCCCGGCCAACGCTTTGTCTACTCAGGTCTTAAAAACCTCTAAGAATGGAGAGTCCAGCACCTCTCTGGGTAACCTGTCCCAGTGCTTTACTACCTCCCAGCGAGAAAATTCTTGCTATTATCTAACCTAAACGTCCCTTGCTGCAACTTGAGACCGTTGCTCCTTGTTCTGTCGTCTGCCACCACTGAGAGCAGTCCAGCTCCATCCTCTTTCGAACCCGCCTGCAGGAAGTTGAAGTCTGCTATTAAATCCCCTCTCAGTCTTCTCTTCTGCAGACTACATAAGCCCGGTTCCCTCAGCCTCTCCTCACAAGTCATGTCCTCCAGCCCAGGAACCATTTTTGTTGGCCTCTGCTGGATTCTCTCCAATTTGTCCACATCCTTTCTGTAGTGGACAAAAGTACTCCAGATGTGGCCTCCCCAGTGCTGGATAGAGGGGAATAATCACTTCCCTTGACCTGCTGGCAACACTCCTACCAGTGCAGCCTAGTATGCCATTAGTCTTCTTGGCAACAAAGACATACTGTTGGCTCACATTTGGCTGACTGTCCCCTGCAGCCCCACATCTAAGACCTGGGAATAAAGTCTGCATGGGAAGAGCACAGCTGAAGTCAGCGTCCCAGCTATGCCAGGCTCCTGGCAGGATTGGGGGGGCTTACTTTGTGGATCGTACAGACTTGGGAAGTTTTCAGGCCCCAAGTTGAAGCAGATTTACAGAGCGTAGGTGGCATTGACAAAACACCGCATTAAAAAAAAAGTGAAAAGTGGTTTTTTTCACTTTCCTGCTTAGTTTCTCGGGGTATACTCTTCCCTCTTGCTTTGCACTGACGTGCCAGCTGCAGAAGAGGCCCCGAGCACACCCTCAGGACCAATTGCTGGCCGTCATGGACTGAGCGATGGAGAAGCAGTTTGCCACTGCCCTCAACTCCCGTCTGTCCTTCTAACTGGAGAAAGCAGCAGCAAAAACAAGGGAGCGTCCATTCTTTGAGTAAGATCAATGGGCACCATGATGATGCAGTGCGTGGTAACAGCAAAAGCCAATACAAACCGTTCAAAAATGACCGGGCTTTTAAGAAAAATGAAAATAGGGGGTTACTTTGTCTTCTGATGGTGTAGACTTCAAGCCTCACATCTCTTTAGCTACCGTCTCGAGAGGGAGCAGCTCTTTTACATACATATATACCGTCTATAAAACAGATAGCTCTGCTCATCATATGCAGATTGGCTGCATTTATTTTAAGCAGGGGAACATCTCCTCCGTGAACCCGTCACTCAAATAAGCAGCCAAACGTGGGTGAGCTTCATAGCAGAGTTATATATAGGGGTATATAGTAGCTGCAATTCTCAAGTATGCAACACACTTTTAGCACTTCGGGGGCTTTAAGATTGCCCGCAAATTGTAAGATTGGTGACAAAATGGCATGAATTGGTATCTCACGTTCAAAGAAACAGCAGGGCCTTGACTGGTCAGTTGGGTAGGAGGAGGGAGAGAGGGAATGAAACAGTGCGGGGAAGAGAGGAGCGGGGAAAGGAGCTCAGGTTCTGCAAAATAGCATGTGTGAGGCAGGGGAGGGGTCACTTGATGCACCTTTAATGCATCACTTTTTCCTGCTGGGTGAACTGTAGGGGCAGAAGGGGGAAACCCCGCTAAGTAGGGAGGAGGGAGACAAAAGGACTGCACACAAAGCACGTACATCTTCCAGCAGGGGTCTGGACTGGGCCAATCCACCTCCACCACTAACCACTGGTGCTCAGAGCCCACCCTCTAAAGAAAAATAAATGTGGGGGCAGGGGAGGGAATCAAACCGCCTTGGAAAACCCATGCACCGAGGACTCTTGGCCAGCCGGCAAAGGGAAGATTCATTTCTGACCAGGAAGACCTCGAAGCGCCTCCTTCCCCCGTGCACTGTGGATACGGCAGGTGAGAGCGGAGGGCAAGTTCAATACCACAGAGAGAGAGAGGAAGGGTGAACAATATCAGGTTTCCTAAAAAAACACGTTAGCAATGGCTTAGCAGCCTCCGTGGTAAATCCGAGGACGGTATATCAAGAGGCTGTCAGATTATATAGAAAGAACCACCATCTAGGCAGAAACAAATGAGAACCAATTATAACTAAATAGACCTCCTGCACAAATAGAATTTTGCCATTAAATATCATTTATCCCATTTAATTAGTATTTTGTGGACACAATGCTCGGGACTAAAATACCGTTCTGTCTCCTTGAAACTTGTAATTATTGTTGCGACCTGCACTATTATGCATCTCCCCTGCTTTCTCCATCTTGCATGCCATTTAGAAACAGCAAGATTTTCAATTATCTGTGCTGAACTGTCCAAGATACCTTTAAGAGAAGGGGAATAATGTGCGACTCAATTCCTCTAAAAAGGGGGAGAGATCATTTTTAGTCAGAATGAACACGCGGCGTCTTTCATCATTCTATTTTTGTGAATAAGAGTAAAACAGCCTATTTAAAACATCCATTTAAATGCAAATTGTGATATCCCGGCAAGGAAAAAAAAAAATTAATCATTTACTATAGACAGGATTATTTCCCCACTATATTCCACCCCCCCGCCCCCGCCTTTACCCCCGTTAAATTTCTAGACCTGCACCCTGGAAATGTTCAGGAATTTGCAGGCTTCTGCGCCTTTAAACGTTCATATTGAGGAAGACAAAAATAGGCAGATGCTTGCTCTTTAAGTAGTTGCATAGCTATTTCACACTTACCCAACATTCCCATCCCTAGCATAAAAGCGTCCATGGTATACGGTAATCCTCGCGCCCTTCCTCTTGTCCCTGGTGGAAACATCACTTCTTTAGGTTGTGCTTTCTTACATTCTACCTATTGAGCAGAAACATGTACAAATGAGATGCAAATGAATTCCGTGTAAATGTCAAATGCAGAACCAATCTAGTTAAGGGGGAAACAATTATTTTTAGCTTCCCCCTCCCCAAAGGTGAGTTTTAAAAATAGCGTAAACGGATTTAAAATAAAAAAAAAATAAAATAAAAAAAATGGGCATGTCTTTCTCAAACACGCAGAGCAAAAAAAAAAAAACTCAGTTCAGATGATCAAATGCAGACTTCAAATCGGTTGCCGTGCTCCAGACGTGAAAACCTACGCTGTTTGTTCTCAAATGATACTTTGCAGGCGTGGAATGGATGGAGGGGGAAAAAAAATAAAATAAAATAAAATAAAATCAGCAGCCTTGTTCCATTGCGAGCGTTAACGGAAAATGATTATTGGTGATAGAAGTCCAACAATCTCCATTTTTGAATGGGAGTATAGAGCCAATGCTTCTACCCGGCAGAAATTATGGCAACTCCTGCCAATAAGCAACCTGCATTTCTCTCACTTCCCCTTGCCCCTGCTGCCTTTTGAAATGATTTACTGCCGTTTTAATCAAATTACAGGTCTCTAATGCCATGTAAGGAACTTGACATCATGAGCGCAAGGAGAGGACGATAGCACTTGGATCGCAGGAGCTCCAGAACGGGGTCCTGTACCCTGTACCCGGACAGCCAGAGCCTGGTTTAATGGGTGCAGCACTGGGCAGGGAATCAGTTCAGCTAGTCACAGACTAAATTCACAGTTCCTTGCGCTATAAGGTTGGGAGCCTCATCACTGATTAAGGCAAATAATGAGGGGACCGATGTTTTGATCAGGAAGCAAACACACCTCCGCCTCCTACCTGCACCAAGGACGCTCAGAAAGCAGCTCTGCTCGTCATCTGCAGATTGGCCACATTTAATTTTAAGCAGGGGAGCATCCCCTCCATGCACCCGTCGCTCAAACAAGCCGGCAAAGGTGGGTGCACTTCCTATGTGCAAACAGGTAATTACCCCAGACAAAACCAGGGAGGTAGAATAATACGGCTAAATGTCTCTGTTCCTAATAGCCCTATCAGTGACTGCGTATTCATTGTCTTATGAAAACCACCCGCCTGTTCCTAGGCAACCTGATCAGTGAAAATTTCAGGTTTATACAATTTTCATTTAGGTAACATAAAGGTTAACTGACTGTAATGGGAGTATTTTAAACAAAACCACCTACTCCTTCCCTTTCTGCTGGAAGCCGCGTGGCAGATCTTATTTACTTTGTTTGCTCGCAACACTTCACAAAGCAGCAATGCTCAGATTCTGCCGGCAACGTTGTCAAAACATTCACTTCTTGCAAACAAGCTGCCACGATCCGTCGCCGCTCAGACTGAAGTACTTGGAGACTTCTGCTACCGCTTTGCTGACGGGCGCCTGGGTCAGCGATAACGCCGGGAGACGGGCAAGGAGGGCACACACCAGCAGAGGGGTTGCAGAGTCTCGGGATGACGGGACACCGGCTCTGGGAATCGGGAGCTTTGGGCTACCGACTTGGCCGCTGCCGTGCTTTGCACGTCCTCGGCTGCATAAGGAGGACAAGACGTGGCTACCACCTAGGTGGATGGCTATGAATTAACATTTGCAAATCAATTTGTGGTCCTTGATGCCCCCTGCGACACGCGGAGAGTATAGGGGCTGTCTGGGGTGGGTGTGAACTTGTAGGCAACTGCTGCAACAAGAAGATTTTAAAAGGAGGAAAGGGGAATAGACTGAAGAGGCCTGGTAGACAAGAAGCAGCACTAGCAAGACTCGCTCTCTGCCCATCGTGGAGGCTCAGGCGTGGCCAGGACACTGTCAGCAGGTTTCCTCAGTCTTTTCTTCAACGGTCGTGGCAATGACAGCGAGTCCACGTGCAAGGAGCACGTCACGGGCAGAGGGAGAGGCAAGCAAACCACTTGTAAATGGCTCTGGTCTTAGGTCTGCCACCAACCTGCTGTTGAGAGCAGTGCAGGAAGGGATGAGGCGACCTGCTAACAACCAACGTGTACCCATGCCCACAATGTTAATGAAACCTCTGTCCCAGCCTGACTTAAGACCGCAGCAGCAGTCTTTAGACAGACCACGAAAGGAGCAAGAGGAAAGCGAAGTCAATGCCCACAGTCATTCAGTCCAGCAGAGATCTGCGCCTCCAGCACGTGACCGAGGAGCTCTTGTCCCACGCTCGAGAACATGAGCCCACCTGCTGGGGTGGGTAAAAATGCAGCTCGGAGTTGCACCTGCTTTTGGGACAGTCCTTGACGTGGCTGCTTCACCCCAGTTCACGCCACCATCGACTTCCCTTTCAGTTTATAAGCGTCTCTTTTTCACAGAGACCTGAGGTCCAACCTCTCTCCTCCTTTCACAATTCAAGTGAAGCTCAGCAGAAACCAGTCAATCTTCATTTATGTAACGGGAGCTCCTAAAGGCCGTGGCTCCACTGGATGAACCCCCGTCCAGAGGAGCTCACAATCTCACTGTAAGGTTGTGGGCAACAGATGGATTAAGGAACAGGGAAAACAAGGAGATGACACTGGTCATCGTGGAAACCGGTGGTCACAGCCGCTGCTGACGGGTTTATTTGCTTTTGGGTTTTTTTGGGTAGATATTTTGCTAGGAGAGAGCTTTTGGGTTGGGTTGAAGGTGAACACTGCAATGAGGAACTAACACTTACACGAGTGCTACCCTCTGGCAAAAGCCTTCCGGTGACTTAAGTCTACGAGCCCAGTATAGCAGGTTTCCAAAGGCGCACAAGTGTCCACAGCCCTTATGGAAACCCCAAAGCCCCAGGTGGACGCACACACTACTTCGTCCTGCCCTCACATCACCCTGCAAGAGCAAAACATCCGTAAAGTAGCCGTGTCCAATGCAATCCCAAATTCCTGGTTGCTCTCTCTAGGCCAGGGGCTGGCAACCTACAGCTCATGGCCCTCAGAGGGACTGAATCCAGCCTGCAAAGGTCTGATCTGGTCTGCTTTTTACCGAGGGTGCACCCAGAGGTGGGTCCAGGATCCTGGGAAGTGGGGGTGCAGGAACAGCACCCTGTGTTGCAGGGGTGGTTGCACTCCTGCTCCCGCCCTACTCGCACACCCAGGCAGGCAGACAACGCAGCAGGCGTCAGGAACTTTTCTTTAAGCCCCTCCAGCAGGTAAAAATTGTTCCCCCATCCCTTCTCAGGATGTTTCCTCCCCTTCTCCGCCCTCTCGCTGCTGCCCCTGTCCTCAGCTCACCTAGAGGGGTAGCGGGGGGAGGCTCCTGCCCCACTCCACATGGATCCAGGCTTGGCTACAGACAACGGTGGCAGCGGGCACGTTCCCTTCCCCTGCGTCAGCTCCCAGGCTAGCAGGGAGGAGGAACCTGCCCACTGCTGCTGTCCCTGGCTGAGGCCGGCTCCACGCAGAGCCCAACTGCAATGGGAGGGAGCACATGAGAGCTTCCCCCCTGCCCGAGGAGGGCAGAGGAGGGTAACAGATGTGCTGAGCACGGAGGGGAGAATGGATCCACCCCTGGGTGCACCAATCCGCAGCCATTCGATCTACTCCGTGATTTGCTAAGGGTGGGCAGATCACCTCCAGTTAGGGCTGCTCCTCCTCTCTGCGGCAGCTGGGGCAGAAATGGTGGTGCCAGCCAGGTTGCAGGCTGCAACCCACATTATTAAAAACTGGCCGACCCCTGCTCAGGGCACCAAACGAAAGAGTCCAGCAAGACCCTCTGCAACTTCCCTTGACTTATTTTTAATCAGAGGGATATTTATCAGGAGTATGCCCAATTCAATTTCTCCAGGCAAATTAAAGTGGCCTGATCAGCAGAAGTGTATCATTTCATTTCTCAGCCGTCTTCTTCGAGTTCACCGCTGCTCCAAATGTCACGGCGTCATTGGTTACACCTCAGAGCGGTTTTCATTGCAAATATGTGGTATGATACAAAGCAATCTAGCCTGGCTCGATGGACAATTAACAGGAAAATGAAGTTTGGATTAGCACGGTTAGAAACAATAACCCGGTAATTAGCTTTCGCAACCACAAAACAGACTACCGCTGGTAGCAGAAAGACTAGCTTAATTTATGATTTTCACAGCACGCAGGGACATAAAGAAAACGTTCGCAAGCGGCAAGGAAGTTTTAACTTGGAATTCAAAAAATTACAAAAGAAAAAAAGTCGAGGGAAAGCAAAAGCGCAAGTGAAATCTTGTAAATCGTCGTGCCAGGCAACACCAGCAAAGGCACCCTCGGCAAGGGGGACCTTCCCCTCCGTTTTGCTTGAGCTGGGGGAAGCCCACTCTCAAGGCCAGGGGCTCAAGCAAAGGGCTGGACTGGAGACCCCAGAAGCCAAACTCTCCTCCGCAGAGCAGTGGCAACATAAGCGTCCTCCCTACCCTGTCTTAACCATGCGACTTGTGTAACAGGGTCCATCTACCAACAGAGGAGTAAATCTCAAAGTAGCCCAGAAGAGCATTACACCCCCCCACCACTTTATAAATGAGGCAGAGGCTCAAGCAGATCATTAGCAGGACAGGAAACAGAAGCCTAGGCTCTCATCTCCTGACTTAGTGCCTTGTTTGGGGAAAGAGTCTAGTTTCCAAGTCATTTCTAATCCTCGGCCTCCGTGCCGAGATGGGCGGAGAAAGGCTGGTCATTGCCAACTGCGCGTTGGCATCGCCAACAACTTGCGGTCCATAGAGACACGGGCCAGAATAAGACTCCTTTGAAGACCGCTCGAAGAGCTGGAGGGCAGTTAGTGACCCCGCGCTTCCCAACGCAGCCAACGAGTCAGGCTGGGAGAAAATACAAACCAGTTTGATCTTGGCAAAACTCAACGGCAACAATAGAGTCCCAGTAAGACCGTGCGAGGAGGTGGTGTGGGACTGTGTATGGTGGTGGGAACACAATGGAAACCTCACACGTTGCAATGTTAGACCGTAGGTCGAGGGGGGAATACCACCAGCCGCCTGGCTAGTGTAGGCTACCAGCACATAAAATCGGGGTACTG